GGGAATGGTTTTCTTACCTTTCTTTGCTTTCACTTTAACTCGAGGCATGCTGGGGTGACGAGGCTGACGATTTATCAATGTTGCTGGGAACCTAAGGTTAAGGGAAAGCGACAGAACAGAGAGAGACGAAGGAAAAGGAAGGGAGGGAAAGGGTGCTAGCGCAAAATTAGAGCTTTGAAAGTTTTTTTTTATGATAAGCTCCTTCTTTGTCTTTTCTTAAATAGACTTACCAGCCTTATCCTCATTAATGCTCAGAAAAAGGGCGAACTACCCCCCTAATTGCCTTTTCTCCTTTTTCTTTTAAAAATTTGGAATTCAAAAATTACCTCCCTTTTTACCTTTCCTAGAAAGGCGCCCTGCTTTTCTTAAAAAAATGTGGGAGAAGAATGTTTAAAATAATTCGGTTTTAAAACTTCTGACCCACGATTTTTCTGACAGATTTTTTTGCTGTAGGCACAAATTGCTTTTCTCTCTCCTTAACTGCTTTTCCCCTTTTTAAATTCCATCTTCATTTTCGTATTCCTGGTTTATGTTCCAGCATCGACGAGGTTGACCACACTTTCTCAACTTCCCCCGACTCTGCTTTAGCGATGATAGCAGTGAACTGGTAGAGTTTTTCCCTTGCCTGAAACAAAAAAAAACGAAATACAAGAAATGCTTCTAATTAAAATCTTCCTACTAACACTAAGAAATTTAAACTGAATTAACAAGAGTTAAACTACAGAGAGAGAAGAAATAAAGGATTCTTCCCCTTTTATTCTGTCTTGGTAACCCCTTATGTTGACCTCAACTAGTGGGAATCCATCTTCCTCACCACTTCTCATCCCCAGTAGTGCTTCAATCTTTGTCCATTCACTGTGAGTTCCCTTCCCGTGTTATCTTCTTTGATGGTTATAGCTCGATAAGGATATACCTTCATCACTGTGAATAGTCCTGACCACCTTGATTTCAACTTTCCAGGAAACAACTTCAACCTTGAGTTGAATAACAACACCTTCTGTCCCTCCTCAATTGTTCTTGGCTTTATTCTTCTGTCATGCCACACTTTGATCTTTTCTTTGTAAACCTTTGCGTTCTCGTAAGCTTCTTTTTTGAATTCATCCAACTCCAATAGCTGAAATTTTCTCGCTTCTCCTGCTGCTTCTAGATCCATATTCAACATCTTCACAGCCCAAAATGCCTTCTGTTCCAGCTCAAGTGGGAGATGACATGCCTTCCCAAAGACTAGCTTATAAGGGGATGTTCCTATTGGAGTCTTGTAGGCAGTCATATATGCCCACAATGAATCGTCCAACTTGTAAGACCAATCTTTTCTACTAATATGCACTACCTTCTCCAAAATCCCCTTAATTTCTCTATTTTATACCTATGCTTGCCCTTTCGTCTGAGGGTGGTATGCGATGGACACCTTATGCTTGATATTGTATTTCGCTAACAAGGAACTCATGGCTTTGTTAAAAAAAATGGGACCCCTCGTCACTTATAACTGCCCTAGGGGTTCTAAATCTGGTGAATATGTTCTTGTGTAGGAACTTCAAGACTGTTTTCGCATCGCATGTTAAGCAAGCTATTGCTTCCACCCATTTAGAAACATAATCCACTGCCAACAGAATGTAGAGGTTACCATTTGATGGAGGGAAAGGTCCCATGAAATCTATCCCCCAAACATCAAAGAGTTCTACCTCAAGGATAAAATTCAAAGGCATTTCCAACTTGTTTGAGATGTTTCCCACTCTCTGGCATTTGTCACAGTTCTTTGCGTATGAGTGTGCATCTTGGAAGTCAGTTGGCCAATAGTATCCACTTTGGATGATTTTGGCTGTCGTTCGTTGTCCTCCAAAATGTCCACCATAAGGGGTGGAGTGACAATGCTCCAGCACTATGGATGCTTCAGCCCTGTCAACACATCTGCACATAATTTGATCCTTGCATAGTCTGTATAGGTAAGGATCATCCCAATAGTAAAACTTGCTATCATGGATGAATTGTTTAAGCTGCTACCTTTTCATGTCTGATGGCAAAATTCCGCTAGCTACATAATTGGTCATATCATCAAACCATGGCTCCAAGTTTTTTCTCTGTTCTGTCACCACTAGCAACTGATAATTAGGGAATGCATCTCTGTTCGCTGCTTGTTGTCCTTTCACTGCTTCTTCTAGCTCTACTCTCGATAAATGGTCTGCTACTTGGTTCTCTGATCCTTTTTTATTTCTAATCTTTTAATCAAATTCTTGTAGCATGCGTTCATTTTCTAAGAGGAAGCATAAAGGTTTAGAGATTTTAGAAAAATCCTTGATGAATTTTCTGTAGAACCCTGCGTGCCCAAGGAAATTTCTAATTCCTCTGACTGATGTGGGAGGTGGCAGCTTCTCTAATTCTTCAATCTTGGCGCGATCTACCTCTATTCCATTCTTGGATACCTTGTGGCCCAACACTATCCCTTCCATCACCATAAAGTGGCATTTTTCCCAATTGAGAACTAAATTGGTGTCTTCACACCTCCTCAACACTTGCTCCAGGTTGCTCAGAAACTCGCTAAAATCCTTCCTAAAGACTGAGAAGTCATCCATGAAGACCTCAACCACAGTCTCTATTAAGTCTAAGAAGATTGCCATCATACATCGCTGGAATGTTGTTGGAGCATTACACAGTCCAAAGGGCATTCTTCTAAATGAAAATGTACCATATGGACAAGTGAATGTAGTCTTTTGCTGGTCCTGAGGATCAATGGTAATTTGGTTGTAGCCATTGTACCCATCCAATAAATAGTAGTATTCTTGCCCAACCAAACTATCTAACATCTGATCAATGAAGGGCAATGGAAAATGGTCCTTCTTAGTTGCCTTGTTCAACTTCCTATAATCCATACAAATGTGCCAACCTGTTATGGTTCTTGTGGGAATCAGCTCATTGTTGTCATTTGGCACCACTGTGATCCCACCCTTCTTGGGTACACATTGGACTGGACTCAAACAATCACCGTCGGCTATTGGGTAAATTATCCCAGCATCAAGCCATTTGATGATTTCCTTCTTGACAACTTCCTTCATGGCAGGGTTCAACCTCCTCTGGTGTTCAATCGAGTTCTTACATCCCTCTTCTAGATTGATCTTATGCATGCAGTAACTTGGACTGATTCCCTTTATATCAGCTAGAGTCCAGCCAATGGCCTTCTTGTGATTCCTCAACATCTCTATTAACCGACACTCTTTTTCTTCAGCTAAGTCTGCTGCAATGAAGACTGGCAGTGTTTCTACTTCTCCCAGATAAGCATACTTGAGGTGCGATGGTAGGACTTTCAGCTCTAACTTGGGGGCTTTCACCACGGATGGCTGCAGTGGCGCTTGCACCCTATCCTTCAATTCCAGCGGCTCAAATGTCTTCTTATAGATTTTATCAGAGGTAGGTTCATGCGGCTGGCCTTAGATCAACTTGGCCTCCTTGTCTCCTACCTTGATAATTCTGGTTAGCTCGTCCTCCAGTTGGTTCAACAGCTCTTCTGTTTGTATTTCATCACTCATCAAATCATCTGCAATCCTTAACCAAGAACATTCTTCCACATCAATAGGGTATTTAATGGAGTTAAAAATAGATAATGTCACCTGCTGGTCATTAACTCTTATAGTGAGCTCTCCATTGTGTACATCGATCAATGCTCTCCCCGTGGATAAAAATGGTCTTCCCAAAATTATTGGGATTTCCTTGTCAGCTTCGTAATCCAGTATGATGAAATCTGCAGGAAAAATGAATTTATCTACCTGAACCAAAACATCCTCTATCTTACCTTCCAAATATGTAATGGACCTATCTGCCAACTGTAAGGTGACGGTTATTGGTCTTGCTTCTCCTATCCCTAGCTTCTGATACACTGATAAAGGCATCAGGTTGATACTAGCGCCCAAGTCACACAACGCATGCCCTACATTCTTCCCTCCTATTAACACAGGAATGGTAAAACTTCCAGGATCACCCATTTTCTGAGGGAGCTTTCCTGTCAAAATGGCACTAAATTCTTTTGTAAGGGCCACTATTTCAAATTCCCCTAGCCTTCTTTTCTTTGCCAATATATCCTTGAGGAATTTAACGTAATTTGGCATCTGCTCTAATGCTTCTAACAAGGGTATGTTGATATGGAGCTGTTTCAGCACCTCTAAAAATTGATCAAACTGCACGTCTTGGTTTTTCTTTTGCAACCGCTGAGGGTAAGGAGGGGGAACTTGATGTTCCACTGGAATTTTTACTTTCTTTTTCACAGGTGTCTCCATAGACACTTCCTCCACAAGTTCTGTCTCCGTGGCCCTCTTTTCTTTGTTTATTTTTGGCTCAGGCTGCTTCGTTATTCCTTGTTGTGCCACTGGTCCTGGTTACGTTGTTCGCTAAACTAATGCTTCAGCATCATTCACTATGTTCTCTTCAGTATTCATATTTTCTACTACACTCTCAGTCACCTTCTCTGTCTGAAGATCTTCCTGGTGTACAACATTATCCTCTCTCATCAGTGCAGGATAGGGGTGTGGTAATGCCTTTCCACTATGGAGAGTCAATGCTTGACATTGCCTTTTCACTTCCCTTTGAGGATTCTCAGTATTACTTGGCAGGGTACCTTGTGGGCGATTTTTCATTTCAATAGCCAACTGTCCTAGTTGAACTTTCATATTGCTTAAGGTGCGGCTCGGCTCTGTATCAATGCATCGTTCTTGGCCATATAATCTCTCATCAGAGCTTTCATACAGTTTGAGGGGTTAGCTGCTGGCCTTGCTCCTTGCGGTTGGCTAGGTATCAGTAATCCTAGCTGCTGCATTGTTTTCTGTTGGTACTGTTCGGCGTTCTGATTCCCATGACCACCCTGATTTCCTCCCCAACTAAAATTTGGGTGTTGCCTCCATCCTAGGTTATAGGTATTCGAGTACGGGTTGTTTCTGCCAGGGTTTCTCAAATAATACACTGATACAGGGTTTCCAGGGCAAGAGTCATAAGTATGATCAACTTCACAGTAGGAACATAAGACTGCCATTACCTTGCTTGATCCTGAGTTAGTGGATGATGCTGCAGCAGCACTCATGTTCTTTACCATCTTGGTTAGGTTTACTATTTGATATTTCAGAGAAGCCATCTTCATGTTGCTGGCAGCCCCATAGTTTCCTCTGTCATTTATAGCTCTGGAATCTGACCAATGGTAGTTATTGGAAGAGATTCTCTCCAAGATGTCCACTGATTCGGTATATGATTTAAATAGCAATGCTCCAGTCGCAGATGCATCAACCACCATTCCGGTCACTCTGTTCAGCCCATTATAGAATGTTTCTATTTGAATGCATTTTGGTAAGCCATGGTGCGGACATCTTCTAAGTAGCTCCTTAAACCTCTCCCATGACTCGCTCACAGATTCTCCTCCTCTTTGCTGGAAGTTATTGATATCTCCCCAGTACTTACCATTTTTACTAGGAGGGAAGTACATTATCAGGAATTTTTTAGCAAGGTCATTCCATGAGGTAATGGATTCTACTAGGATAGAGTTCAACCAATCTCTTGCCTTGTCCCTCAACGAATACGGAAACAATTTCAGCCTTAACGCTTCCTTTGATACTTCTTGCATTTTAAAGGAATCACTCACTTCAAGGAAGTATCTGAGATGAAGATGTGGGTCTTCAGATGGATTCCCATAGAACTGGCCCACTGTTTGCAGCATTTGAAACATCACAGGTTTCAATTCAAATCGCTCAGCTTCTATCCCTGGCCCTGCTATGACTGGATAAAAACCATGAAGTGCTGGCGCAGCATAAGCCCTAATAGCTCTATCTCCATCGTCTGCCAACAGAATGGCATTTAGAGGGGGCATGGCGGCTGGTTCAACCATTTCTCCTACATGTAGTTCTTCCAAAACTGGATTGGGTAGTCTTAGTGGTTGATCGATGGGGTTAGTTCCCACTTGCTGACGACGATGTTCTCTTCTTTGTTGGTGGAATGTGCGCTCAATTTCGTTGTCAAGCAAGTACTCTAACCCTTGCAAATCGTGCATTCACCTTCAAAGTTCACCAATACAGTAGTCAAAGATCTAGAATAAAGTTTCTTTAAGCAAAATACAAGAGTGTAAAGTAATTTAGTCCCCGGCAACGGCGCTAAAAACTTGTTGTCCACTAATTGTGCTACCAATTCTTCTATGTGCATGTGTACACAATCGTTGCAGCAAGTAATAAAAGTTTGAATCCACAGAGACTAAATACTTAAACACTCAATATTCGCTCAAAAAATTTCTACAACAAGCAACAGGATTCTCTTCCAAACAATAACTAAATAGTGCTAAGAATAGAACTTTGAAAGAAATATCTTAATGCAAACACAAAGGGTATATTCGTTAGAAGTACCAAACATCCACAATCACTCAGTAAGATCTTGTAAAAATAAATGCGTAAGGGGGAGATTAAGTCAACTCATTGTGCCACCTTAACTATGTTGTAGCATTAATGGAGTCAGTACAATGGTCAAACAGACAAGATGTTCTTCCAAACACCCCAGATTTTCTACTACTAACATTCATAGACAAACATCAATAGCATATACACATAGTTTTTATGACCAAGCTAGGTGATGCTTATCCACAAGTCACCACACGCTAAACTTAAGTAGACTCTAGCTCAAGATGAAGGGTTTCGCTCATTAACACATTTTTCCAAACATTGTCAAAGAGATATTTCAAAATGGTGATCAAGCACAATGAAATTTGAGTGATACACTACTTCAACTCAAAACACACTTCCATTAAAACAAACAGCACGGTTACAGCCCAGAAAATAAGTCTAGAACATCTCCCCCTCTCACAAGTGGTTAGCTATGCAAAGCCATAAGGAGAGTCAAACAAAATGTAGGAATGAAAATAACACAAAGATTAGAAAATGAAGAAAAGGAGCTGAAGATCAGCTCCCAACTGCCCTAAAGAGTTTGCTGCTTCTCTTTCTTTCTCCAACGGTTCTTAGAGAGAGTTTCTTGGAGTAAGGGTGGATTCCTTCCGAGGATGAACAAGGAGAATGTTTCTTGATGTGTGTGTCCTTGAAGGCTTCTCCTCTTGTTTGTATTTATACGCCTCTTTAGATATTAGGGCAACATTACGAACCTTGGGGGACCTAGCTCTCTCTTTTGGTTAAAACCTCCAATTACTGCGGTAAATCCCGTTGGGCAGTCCTACTGCTTTCTGAATTTGGATCTGATGTTGTAGCATCATCAAAGTTGTAGCAAAATGCACCAAAATTAGCTCAATTGCAATTGACAATACTATAGTGTAGAAAGCTAGTGTTTATGATCTTTTTAGAACAAAATCAGTGACTAAGGGTGCAAGGGATGCTATCTTTAGCTAATTTATACCAACATTATACCTAAATTACTCTCTATTTGGAGAGTTATCAATGAGCTGACCTCCGAGTATCTTCAAAGGATTCTGCAGTTGCCCAGGGGAGCTCGTCACTACTTAGCGCTCCTCGTCGATGATAACTTATACGACTGAGGCTTGCACGTCGTCGCTGAAGACGTCCCGAATCCTCGCACGCCAAGTCCTTCTAGGTCTTTGTCTCTACTTTTTTCTCCAGTTCGTTCCGAAGCTTATCTATCTCGTTCTCCTTTTACTTCGTCAATTACTCATTATTTATGAACGCTGATCTAGAGGGTTTTTCCTATATATGTTGCTTGCCATTTTGTTGGGTAGGAAGACGAAGGCCACCAAGGTGGGGATCAGCTCGTCTCCCATCGAAGTTCGTGACAATGAGGTCCCAATGGGGTCTCCCCCAACCACCGCACGCCCTGACGTTGCAATAGAGGCCTCCCCTCTTCAAACTGTCCATGCCTCCATAAAAAAGAGGAAGAACAAAAAGAAGAGGGTGGAGAAGAGCTCGAGCCCAAGCCCTCAAGCGACTGGCGAGGTGAAA